GCAAATTTACTAACCCATCCTTCTACGCCCTCATCCAGGTCATTTATAAAAATGACAAACAGCAGTGGCCCCAAACCATCTCCTTTCTTGCTACGTAGGCTGGTCACTCACTTATTGATCTACTGATATCAGAAGGTAGTGCATCTCGTTGAAAAAAGTTATCTATTTGTCACTTGACTGTCCTTTCCTTTCAGTGATGTGGCTAAAGCAACCAGTTGCTCACCTTATGGTATCCATCAAGGCAAAAAAATGTGCAGCTTGCTACTGGAAACAATCTTTCTCAGGAGGTTGTGTTTTTTCCCCTGATCAATATTGTGGGTAAACTGGAGGGATGATCTCTGTTCCAATTCTAAATGTGGCATGAGCTCAATTGAGTGTGCAGTAAATAAACATGAGCCATGGCACCAAGCTGCATTCTAATTCAGTTCGAAACTGAGCCGTCTTGCTCAGAATCCAGGGTAGATGATGTAGGAAATTAAATATCACACTGGTGGAGTAATGGATATTTTTCTTGGATTTGATGTTGAGTCACATTTCTGGAACCAGGAAAGATTTTAGCGGCAGTTGAAGTAAGTTGTGCTGCATTTGCACTCCTTTATAGGATAAGGATGCTAGTTGATGGTGTACCATACCAGTGTATTAGCTGACAAAAGGAAATGTTTGTCATTGCTAATGCTGATCCCACCTAGCGCAGGCTGTGTGCTATGTAACCCATATGCTTCTTTCTATCCTTGCTTACCATGATCTGCCTGTACTGCTTGTAAACAGCTTTTCAATGGTACACATGACAGTCAATCAATGAATGTACAGTGCAAAACTAGAACAAAGGAATCAAGTGGGGAAGATAAATGAGAAATGGAAGTAAAATACACAGATTACCTAGGGGAGAGGAAAAGACATATGTGGAAATGATAAAAGGTCAAAGGGAGAGGGAGCCAACAGATGAGACAGAGGTAAAAATACCTATAGGTAAGAAAAACACCAGGTCTGAGAAAGGAGCATGGAAATAAATGGAGAAAGAGGGAAAAGGCACAAGTGAAATAGAGGGAACAGACCCAAAAGGGAACTATTACTTACATACACAATATCAATGTAGGAAAAGGTTACAGAAACATGAGAAAATTGTCTGTCACCTGGAACTAGAGCTTGGAAGTGTCTCTTGAGAGTATGGAACATAAGGGAGAAGAAATAAAATACACAATGAGAAGGCGAAAGACTTGGTGAGTAAAGCAGCAGGATGAAAGGGAATAAGAGAACAGCAAGAAATGCAGGCCCATTATAAAGTCACTGGGATTTGCACTGCTCAGGTATTTAGGGTACCCGTGCCTAATCAAGCTGACTGACTGTACATGATAACATGAGATCCGCTCACTAACATTTTTATGTTGGAGCCATAGGGATTTTGTGGCTGAATCACTGGCCAATGACTCCCTGCAGCTGCCTGTAAGTGTTTCACTTAAAATGGGAACAAAAATTAATACAAAGACCCAATGCAAAAATTGGCTATATTAAGACATGGGGCAACAGAGCCAATAATGAAGGATGGTTGCTGTTAACTAAAAGCTTCACCCTCTGAAGTTTAAATAGCATTGGATTTCATTGTCTACAAAATTACACAAGGAGTCCGGTAACACTTTATAAAAGTATCTAATTCTGAAAGAAGTTGGGATCTTGATGAGCACAATTCGATACAGGATGGAACTATGTTACTTACTGCATTTACCAGCACTTGTCATCTGGTGACTAGAGGTGGCCTCTGGTCACTATATGATT